ATCTTAATGAAACCCTTAAACGCCATCCGGCTAACTTAGCTGCGTCCATAGACACCAAGATCGTTGGAATCCGTGCCGCCGTTTGCTCTGAATTCCATTCTAAATCGAATCAATTTTCAGATTAAGGGAGTTGCCTGTGACTAAGAGTGTCGGCCACCCGTTTGTTATCGGGACTTTAGTAGGACGTCATTTTCCTCGACCGGGGGTGGCTACCGCCACTCTTGATGAGAATATTGAAATGAGTAAATTGAGAGAGAAGGAGGTGTTGCTGTGATAACTCATTTTGTAAATGAAATGTTACTTTCTCCTTTTGATTCATCATTTCAAACTGTCATTGGTGAATATTTGGTTTTATTTTTATCCTTAAAATTTTTGAAGCGACAGCATCGATACTAATCTCAATGAGCCGTAGTTGTGTTGAAAGGAACTACATACATACAAAAATGAATCGAAGAAAAAAAAAAAAGAAACACAATCTTTGGTTTTAACCCGTTTGTACATAGATCTATCAGAGTCATCTACCATACGTCCTACTCGTATTTTGAGCGTTTGGTTGCGCGTACACGACGCTGCAGCACAGTAAAAGCACAAAATATAAAATAATAATTTAAAGTGCTCTGAAAATCATTAAATTTCACACGGAATCATCTGAATATTTACAAAACACACATTATGTTTTCCTTTAATAAATATTTTCCCCCCATCGATTTAGATGGGGATAATTCATGCAGAGTGTGCAAACATTGCAAAATCATGAGTTGTAAAACGCTGACTCTGCGAGTTTAAATATTAGATCCGAACACGGGTCGAAGCGTTGTGCTGCCAGCGAGCGCGTGTCGCGCACTGGCGCCTACAAACCTAACAGGGATACTTCACGCAGTGCGCAATGCGTGAAGTATCCCTGTTAGGTTTGTAGGCGCCACTTCATGCATTGCGCACTGCGTGCAATCCCTGTTAGGTTTGTAAGCGCCAGTGCGCGTGTCGCGCTGGTCGCACTTGCCCGCCGCCGCCGCGGGGCGGCGTACCACGATGCTTCAAGCAACTATTTCGCAACAGAGATGTTGTACAGCATCATACGAAAGTGAATGCGCTCAAACGTATCAAGAATGACAGGTATCCTTTGACAAGACGGAGCTTTCCTCGCAAAATAAATACAGATACTACGGCACAAAAAGAGAGCGGTAGTCACAAAACTCACCAAGTTCTCGCGTCCGTATTTAATAACGTTTGGCATAATTTTTGAATTTCATCAGAGAAAAAATGACTCAATTTAGGCAGAAACATTCTTGAGTGTGCCGTAAAGAAGATTTTATTTTGAATCAAGAATAAAATCGCGAAATGAAAGCGGGTTTCTGCTCGACGTGAGTGACTTTTCTTTTTATGTAAGCATATTTTCTTCTTTATACGAGCATTATTTTTTTTTTTATTGATTCATAAGGAATCCTTCAAGGCGGTAATTAAATAAATCTCTATAAATTTTGAAGCACGCTTCCGACTTTTTAAGAAGTAGAGTGAAGTAGTGGTGCGCCGTCTGAGCAGCATCAATTCGAGCTTTGCTAAATTTACTTTTCCCTTTAATTTTTTAAATGTTTGGTTCCTCTCCCTTAATTTCGATTTCTTTCCATCTTTTTCTTTATGGCGCCCGAACCCAAGCTTCTCAATGCAGTTCATCTGGCATCGTTCCGGTGCCGAAGTAGCGACGGCGGATCTTTTTCCACGAATTTCCAAAAAACGAATACTTTCGGCCATGTGCACTTTGTGGACTTTGTCTTTACACGTGGAACAACTAACTTTGGGTCTCATAGGCACGTAGAAAAAACTCTCCCACCGAAAAACGCGTGGACGTAAACAACTGGAAAAACAGGTGCGCAGACCAAAAATCGTTGACGAAATGTCCTATAACCGTATAAATCAGTTTCCTCAAAAATTCCATTTTATAGACTCAACAAATGAAAAAACTCCGAAATTAAATAACTTTCATCAATACTCTTCTTGATTAGGGCTGGAAAAAGAAACCTTTTGATTTCACTTGTTTGCCGAAAAAATAAGCGTCTATTTCGGATGGACCTTAAAAATTGTTGCAACAACTATTTTTGCCCAAAACTCAATGCTCAAAATACCAATTAACTTGAAATCGCTGCTCTACGAGTGTATGCGAGTACAATATACTCTTTTTAGATTACAACAGAACAGGTATCCTTGAGGTCCTTGTATTTTTCATTGTATTCTGATTGCTGAGAAATCGTGTCTAGAGGATTTTTAGGTTAATTTGTCTATCACACGAGATTCTAAATCCAAATTCTGCATTTAAAAAAAAAAAAAACAAAAAAAAAAAAAAAAAAAAAAAAAAAAAAAAAAAAAAAAACAAAAAACAAAAAACAAAAAACAAAAACAAATATTATGCAACGATTTTCGTTGACATCTCAAAACTCATTAAGATTGATACATATGAAAAATGGAAGGATTAGCAAAGAGGGATGAAGGAGCAAGTCATAATTTGATAGTAAGTGCATCTGTGGGTCAGAAAACGGATATTTTCAAAACCATTCATGGCTACATACTTACCATGAAGATTCAACAGATTTGATATACGATTTGCAAGGTAACAATGCGCATGCGTCATGAGCCAGAGGTATGATCTGATTGAGTGAATGGTACAAGTTGTGCAACTTTCGGCTTCACTGTTGCTTGAGCAAGCATAGACGAAGGTGTCCTTTCCATACAAAGAGCTGGGATTCACACCTGGCAATGGCGAATTCAGGATGTAAGTATTTTGAAGATAGAGCATGAATGAATAATTGATGGAGATTTCTTAAAATTACAAATTGTCAGGGTCCGAAATATTCTTTTGAGGCAACTCAAAATCTGCAGAGACTGCTGTGTTTGAAAGAACCCACACTGTGCAACGCTACGCAATATTGGATGCAACTATAACTGCTCGACGGATGCCCGTGTTGCCTAGACGGAACAATGAAGGCGTTTTGACCGACGCCAGTCGCAGACAGAGTGATGATCACGGCACTTCCGAGAAAGCCTTATGGAGTTTAAAGCTGAAATTTTAAGATGCACCTTGCAATCACCTTGCCTTAAAAAACCTCCTTGGGCTCCTTAAGAGTTTGTGCACTAAAATACACGTAGGTACTTACGCGTTTTCAAAATGATTTGAGGTCAAGAATTTCAAGGAGTGTGTTATTTCGGCCTAAGATACCTCAGGAAATTAGAAATGGATTCTCAAATGCTCATATTTTTCTGATCAAGTGCTGTCCTCTTCATGTCCTCTAACTTGCACTGGCGGAAGAAATTCTCCCCCATTGTGCAAGGCTGCATCAATATGATAATCAGAGCTGGAAAGTCAACTAAACCAACCTGCATCCACGATCGCCTCGTACACTTTCTCCATGGTGATTCTGACCAGAGGATCCATTGTGTCCGCCAATGGACGGAGCAGTCCGAAAAATGTTGCGTCAAGCTGCAGATAGTTTTTAACTTTACCCGTAGCATTGGGAATGTTCTTCCAAAGGCCTGAAACAAATTACATTAAATTTAAAAACCTTCTCTCGTTCAGTCCCTAAAATCGATCTTAAAGCCGTAACTTGGAGCCGTTGAAGAGTATGTATGTCGACTATTTACGGAGGAAGGGATTTTGAGAGCTTGTCTCGTAGGGTTAAACGATAATTCGAGAGGCCTCGGTCAATTTGGTGTCCCACACCAAAATGAACAAATTTGATGATAGATAGAAATTTTCTCCTTGATCTCAAAACCCGCAGTCGGCCTAACCGGAGCTGGGGCGTTCTACTGCAATAGGTAAGGCTCTAAAGGTGACGATAATGCTGAAAAAGTGTCTCATTTATTCAAAAAGAGTCAGTCAAAGCCATCTCCTGATCCCCCCAAAAGTTGCCTAAAAAGTAGCGCTAAAGGAATATCTGCCAGAAATACTCAACATTTCCGGTTGCATCAGCTAATAGACGGAAACACTTTCTCATTGCACTCGAAAGTTACAGTGTCCGATGAATATTTACAGGGAGTATTCAACATTTTCGATTATTTCAGCTAATCGTCGGAAATACTCCAAGATTGCGCGCGAAAGTCACAGCGACTAGTGAATATTTAGCAGATATTCTATCGACGTTGTAGGTATATTTTCGCGCGCAATGAGGGAATGTTTTGGTCGATCAGCTCGAGAGTCCTTGGGTGATGGACTGATGTATTTTAAGGGGGAAGCGTACTTCAAAATTTTACGTAGGTATAATAAACTATATTCACACAAAGGGAAGTTCGGAGATCAACTTTTGAACGAGATATTACAGTGCGAAGCCACGGATCTCTTTCTGAGAAGTTGCAGAAGCAGACTCCCTGCCATACTCAACGCAATTTATTTAAACTATCTTAATTTGTCTTCTCCTTCGGCGGAATATTCTGAATATATTTCAAGCTATAAAGTTAGCTTCTTTCTCATTTAAAAAAAATTGGGAAAAAATGAGTTAAAAAAAGGAGGAGAATATTCTCAAGCCTTCGATTCCAGGATTACAGGCTTGCGGTGTGAACACCAATAGGCAACGAGGATAAAGATCGCTCGACATCGAGCTCGAGGGACCGAAATCCTAACCCTAGATTAACTCCTGACCTAGGGAATCACTTTTTTTTATGAATGAATTCAACCTTTCCGCTTATGAAAGAAAGAATAATCTACTTGGATTTTGCACGCCAAACGTCACTATGGCAGTCTCAGTAATATGAAAATATGGCAGCCTCAATCTTGACGCTCAGCTCAAGCTGTACACACTTTGAACAACACAGTGTGAGAAAGAAACAATGCTCGATTGAGGAGTCTGCCAAAGCAGTTGTAGTGCTCATTTTGTAGGGTTTTGTTTCTCTTGTGTCCGGGCAATTCAAAGTTACCGTAACCATTGGACAATAAAAACGTTACATCTTAGTTAGAAATTGAAATCAATAGTTTTCGTTGCGCGAATCGTGTTCTGCGTGAATTCTGGTAAAGAATCATGTAGCTGTATGCTAAAATTCGTACATTGTTTAATGGTCCATTCAATCTAAAAAGCGAACATAGAGAGCTTTCCTAACTTTTCTCAGAAAAATTATTTTATCATGAGAAACGAAGCAGTTGGAATGCTCACACGGCGTCGAAACACAACATGGGCCTTTAAAGCCCCATTGTTCGATGCCGCGATTGTCGTAACGCGAATAATCGCGGCAAACACGGTGTAGGTGTGGTCGGTGTCAGACTCATATCAGCGCCTACAAGACTGTAGGAATACTTCTCGCATTGCACCGAACGCCATGCGAGAGTTATCTGCGATAACTATTCAACACGCATTACGCCAGACAGTGCGGTCGGTGTCAGACTCATATCAGCGCCTACAGGACTGCATGAATACTTCTCGCATTGCACCGAACGCAATGCGAGAGTTATTTGCGATAACTATTCGACTACCAGGGGTATAGGCACATTGCCGCTACCTGGATTGAAGGAAAATTTGGAGAAATTGGGAAGCTATTTCTCAAAGTTCCGGTGACCAAATTTTTTTTAAAAAAATACCTTAATACTCAGTAGACCTCGAACTTTTAGAAACTGAATTAAAAAAATGTCATGCAACTACCCCATTGAGATACATATCTTTGATCTTTGAAATTTCATGGCAAGAAAAAAAAACCCTCGTTACTTTTTTGAGCATATTTGTACATTTCTGGACATTTAAGGACCCTATCTGACCAGTAGTCGCGAGTTTAATACAAACAAGCTGATTGTTTAAGAGGGTTGAAAATTGAAATATGTGATGGAGTCCGAGAAAAAGAGACTTAGGTCCCATAAGTGCTTGGAATTTTCTATAAAGCCGAACCGAAAAAGAAAAGAAAAAGAGACGGCGACTCAAGTCAAACTTATTAATTTTTTGTTTTTTGTGCTGAGCGCGTTTGACAACCCTCAGTGATACTGCGTCAAAATGTCAAGGCATGGTTTGAAATCAACGAGATAGCATTTTTTTCCCAGTAAAAATTTAATTTATATGTGTTTGTTACAAGTTAAGAGAAATATTTGGAGGTGTACAAGGTGTCCCGGGGTTAACGGACAATAATTTACAATACGATTTTTTTTTGGTCAAGATAGGACTAATTTGTGGATGATATCCCCCCCCCCCCCCNAACCTTCAAGTTTCTAAAACTTATTTTACTTCAAACTTGGCCCATGATTTTGCTTCTTGTTCAATCATATGAAGCTGATCTCGTGTATTTTCCATTGTTATTTTCAATTTGGGCTCAAAAAGGGACTAAAAACACCGTTTCAACTCTTGTTAAACTATCTCTGAATCGTTTATTGCCTTTTCAGAGGTTTGATTGATTTTAAAATTAAATTATGTGTGCTATAATTTTGGGTCGAAAATACTTATAAAGTAGAAAACATCGATGAACCCTCTAAACGTTGGAATAAGTACTAATTTTGAACTTAAAAATGACGAGGACGTCGTTGAAAATAGAGCACCATTATGGGAAGAATTGCAGATAAACAAGTGGTATTTCAGATGTTCAAGGGGCCGCGGCTCTTACGAAAGGCGTTTTGGGATATAATTTTATGTTATAAGCCAAAAGAATCGGCTCGTAAATGATTGCACTCTCACCCTGAGACACCCTGTGGGATGCTATTTAGAATACTGACGCAGAGTTTTTTCAGTGAAGTTTTTGCATAACTTTGACGCCTTCTTCTCAATTTTACTATTTCCGATAGAGTGCTAATTCTTTACAATTTTCACCTTGCATTCAATTTTCCTAAAATCATCTCGTAAGATTAAAAGGATGCAAATCACCTGCGTTCCAGCGGATATTTTCTGTAGATACCATATTGATTTTGTTGAATAAGTTTTCCCGGAACTCAGAGACATCCTTTGATTCTGGGAAAGCTCCACTGATCCCGGAAATGACCACTTCAAAAAGATCCTCATTTTCATGGCTCACACTTGCCATCATAAAACTTAGAAAAAATAAAAAAGGGGGAAAAACCAAAGACGCCTCCTGGCGTCAAACACACTCTTTAACAAAACAACAATCGGAGCGGAAAATTTGACGATTGAAACAGCTTAATACAGGACAACTAAAGTCGTTTTTGTCTAGGAATGGTAGCACACACATCGCGGAGTAAACATTCTGAACCCGAAAAAAACAGCACCGAAAGATTTCATCACTCTTTAAAATTAATGGGTTTTCAGGTTTCTCAAATTGACGCTTTAAATGTTTTCCGGTCTTTCAAAAATGAGAAATTTTAACGGCGGGACTGCTCACGTTACACCGGTATCCAAGGACGAGAAGAAAGCGAAAATGCATATGTAATAGGATTCAGGTATCTCGAGTGCAGCCTATCAATATTCATACAATGCAGGAGATGACGTATTGTGTCTTTCATTGGCGATTGGATGAAAATGACGCTGCCAGATGGTGCAGTGAAAAAAAGCAAAGAGGAACATTTAAATAGCAGATTAGCGTACTGAAAGAGTTGGAGGGCTGGGTATCCAAGGATTTAAGTTCCGATAATTGTGACTGTGTTAATAGAAGGGATCGATGACCGCAGTGCACGCAACACAATTAAGCAAATTTTTCAGCATCGTAATTCTTATCACGTTGGTTCGATAACTCGGAATTTGATAACTCGACGGCAAACACCCTCTTTTTCTGATATAAAAAAAATAAATTGCAAAATCACAAGATGGTTCCTATGTGCAGATTTAAAAAAAATAGAAAAAGGTAAAAACTCGATATTTTTGGTTCAGTAACAAAACCAATTACGGTCAAATAAAAGAATTCCAGTTTCCGATGCTCCCAAGTAGCAGAGATCGCGATAAATAGCGATTTTATCGGTTAATCATCGCGATTTTATCGGTGGCAATTTATCGTAATATTATCGAATGAAAAATTGCGATTTATGGCGATTAAATCGCTATGCATCGCAATTTTTTGTTCGATAAAATCGCGATCAATTTTCGTCGATAAAATCGAGATTAAATCGCCATATATCGCGATAAATTGCCGGGCAATAAAATCGCGATTATATTGCAACAAGACCGAGGATAATCGCTCAGATGATGATGATCCTGGCGATTTTATCGCCGATAAAATCGCAACATATCGCGATTTTTCGGTTGAAAAATGCTACTTGGGTAATCGGTGTCTAATACTCACAAGAAAGTAAGGAAATTATTTCAAGTCATAATATCTACATGGAGTCATTTGTGCGCGATTGAAATAAATCGGGTGTTTCTGAATCTGGCAGTAGCGCATGGAAAGGTGAACTTGAACCGCGTTCTTCTCGAATTCCCGAAATATCGTTCTCAGACTTTAATATGCTCTCAAAGGATAAATTTTTAGAGCTTGTTTTGAGCAAAATGGTATAGAATACCTCTCTTGGATCTGGTAAACTTTGCTGCCAAATACGCATACGACGTTTACGACGCAAAGAACGCTGTATGAACATTCGAGAGTTGCCAAATTTCCTCCGATAATATGTTTATTTTTGAGGATTGTTAAGAATATTTTTTTTTGAGATTTTCAGGAGATTTAGATGAAATTACGAACAAAATTATCTGAAAAAATTGGAAGAAAAATATTTTTAGGTTTACCAGGAAATTCGTGCTTTATCAAAGGAGAGTTGGCAACGCTTGAAGGTTCATACGGCGTTTTTCCTTATCACGGCAGAGTACGAGAACCTTCCGGTATAACACCTCTTAAAAGCTGGGCTCCTTAAGAGCGATTCATCGACTTGTTATTCGCGAGCCGGGGCCTTAATAAATCTTAGCGCTTATTAATGGGCGTAAAGTTCTGACTAATATCGCATCGGGCGGCGAGCTGTTTTCTAAAGGGCGTAAAATTAAATATAAACGTTAATGGGATGCTGCGCCCGCGGAGGGCCGAATGGAAGCAGTTAACAGGTGTTGATGACAGGCCCGTCTCTCAGAGCGCGGAGCTCGCGTTTTTCATCCCCCTTTCAGTCCCGCTGAAAAACCGCGTATCTCCCTCCAGGAAACCCCTCTGGATGCGTGGTTTCGGTGGCTGCGCCGCGGTTTTCACCTCTGGCATCCATTAATGGTCATTCGGGAAGCCTTGCGTGCGGGCGGCTCATAGTCATTTATCCATACTTTGCCCTCGTATCGCCTGTAAAGTAAACTCTTTGAAGAGCGCCCATTCTTCCCGGTCCTCTCCTCCCTCGGCCCGAACCTTTTTAAGGCGCATCCGCACGTAAGGGAGGGACTGGATCCACGCGGAAGATCGCAGCGTCGGTCGCTCCAGGGGTGCGGGGAAAATATCCGCCGAGAAATACGAGGAATCCTCATGACTGTTAAAAACGAACTTTATATGTCTTGTAACTTTCACTGGAAAAAAAAACCACATTGGATCTAGACTCCGGACTCTTAAAAACATCGACAAGAAGAAATACTCTTGATTCAATCGGATTTTTGCTTAAATCAAGAACCAAGCCTCTTAATTAGAGCGGATTTCCTTATGATTCAAGCAAAAATCTGATTGAATCAAGAGTATTTTTTTTTGTCAATGTTTTGAGGAGTCTGGACTCTAGATCCAATGTGTTTTTTTCCCCCAGTGTTTACATAGACAACTATTAAAGAAACCGTTTAAATTAACATGAAAGAAATTTTTAACGCTTCTTTTTCTTTCTTTCTTTTTTTTTAAAAGCGGTAATTGAGTTAGCAGGTGATACAGAAACACACTTATTAAATTTAACGGAATAAAATTTATATTTTTTTTAAAATTCCTGATCGTTATTTTTGTTTTATTAAAACTTCAGTTGGATAAAACTAATAATTTTCAAAATTATAAAAATTAATTGACTATTGAAATTACTATAAATATTTTTAAATTTACAAGAAGTAAAATTTGAGCAAATTTTGTTACAGTCTACTGTAGATCTTTTCACGATTAAAATGTTAAACAAGTATTAAAAAACTCCTAAGAAAACTTAAGAAAATTTTTAAAGACTTTCTTCTCGTAAATTTATCAGATGTACATTTTACTCAAAACATAATGTAAAAAATTTCCAAATCCCGTATATTTTGGCAGTTTCTTAAAGAGTTTTTAAAAAGTGATATTCGAAAATCGCTGCCACGTGTTACTTTGGATTTCAACCTCACTTTCAGGGATCCAAGCAAAAAGCTGACAAGTAAGCGCTGGCCATGAAACTTTTTGAGCCATAATTTGTAGCTAACAAATTGAAATCAGCGTAGATTTTTTGCTCTAATTCCTAGAACGACCCAGCCATTTTCTTCTTGGAGCGCATTTCCCAGAAAAATGGAAATTTACTCATAAAATGTTCTTCCCCCGGAAAATTTCAATTTTCCGCAGGACTGTAGGTCTCAATTAACTCATTATTAAAACTTCAATTTCCCTATTAATCAATTTTTAATCTATTTCTATAGTGAAGTAGTCTCATACCTTAAGTAAAGTGCGGGGTCGATATATCAACGGACGACCGGGAGGGTCACTGTCAGGAAAGGCGGTAGCAGGGCTGGAAAACTCCATGGAAAAAAAGCGACGGTAACTGTTGAGTGCCACTTTTAGTCTGAAAAAAGAAAGCAAAAACAAAAATATGGGTTGAAAAAGGAGTGAAATTAAAAGTGGTAAAGGTTACAAACGAGAATTGAAGATTGCTGAGGCGACTTTCGCAAACTGGCAACACTGGTTATCGACCATTATTGAAATGCTATGAATTGTTCAAAAAATGAAAAAATATAACCACGAATAGAGAAAGTTTCAATTTTTGTATACCCTGATACAAATTGGCGATAAGAGCTGCGTTTCAAAATACCATAGGAATTTTTATAGCCGGTTAAAGAAGGCTACAGAAAATCATATAGCTGGCTATAGAATGCGGAGGAAATCTTACGGCCGGGCTATACGAAGCGATAAAAAATTATGCAGCCGGGATATAGTTCCTATCGCCGGGCTTTACACTTTATCGCCTGGCTATTGCGTTTTCGCCATCGATTATAAAATAGAAAAGACTATAAGAAATTGTGTAAAAATTCGTGTGCTTTGGAAATCATTTAGTTTGATACGGAACCACCTTAGTATTTACAAAACACACATTATATTTTCCTTTAATACGTATTCTTTTCATCAATAAAAATGAGAATAATCCATACAGGATGTGCAAACATTTCAAAATCATGAGTTGAATAACGCTGACTCCGCTAGATTAAATAACACAAAGCGGAGCGGCGACGCACTCGCGCCTACAAACCTAACAGGGATACTTCACGCATTGCGCAACGCGTGAAGTATCCCTGTTAGGTTTGTAGGCGCCAATGCGCGTTGCGCTCTGGCTGCTCGCCTGCCGCGCCGCGCCGCAGCGTGCCACGACGCTTGAAGCAACTATTTCACAACATAGGTGTTGCACAGTATCATACGAAACTGAAGGCGCTCTAATATATTAGGAATGGCAGGCATCCATCAAAAGTACGGAGCTTTCCTCGCAAAATAAATCAAGATACCACGACCCAAAAAGAGAGCAGTTGTCCAAAAACTCATCGAGTCCTGGCATCCGTAATTAGTAACGTTTAGCATACACTTTATCGCCTGGCTGTTGCTTAATCGCCATCGGCTATAAAAGGCTATAAGAAATTGTGTAGCCGGCTGTAGAGGCTATTGGAAATCTTACAACCGGCTGTAGGTCTATGGTATTTTGGAACACAGATTCTACTGCCAATTTTTACCAGGGTAGTGCCTTGGGCTCGCGGGAAATTCCTATCTTTCTCTACTCGTGTAAAATTCCTCTGTCCATGTGGCCTAACCCAAGTAGCAGTGATCGCGATAAATAGAGATTTTATCGGTTGGTTATCGTGATTACGAGTGGCGTATATCGGTGGCAACATATCAAGGTATTATTAGCGGTAAAAATTTCGATATACGGCGATTAGATCGCTACACATCGCGGTTTTTGTTTCGATAAAATCGAGATTAAATCGCTATTTATCGCGATTTTTACTACGAAAATATCGCGATAAATTGTCGGGCGATAAAAGCGCGATTTTATCGCGATGAGATCGAGGATAATCGCTCAGATGTGGGTGGATGACCCTGGCGATTTTATCACTAATAAAATCGCAATATACAGCGATTTTTCCGTTGAAAAATGCTACTTGGGAACTGTTGACGTTTAGATAGATATCCTCTCCATATAAATGCACGAATGCAGGGTGTCTACAAAAACAGGTTAACCAAAAATCGGTACTTTTACAGTACTTTTTCTGAACATTCCCAAGAAATTCAGTACCTCCACAA